ACAAAATTCTATCTTAGAAACTGAGATTTCATACTCTAATAACTAAATATACTAGTATAAGTAACTGTCAACATAAAACAGTCTAGAAAGTCTCCTGGAATTTTCAATCAGCAAGGAAGAACCGAGTTTCTTATTGCTGTGTGTGCACTATGAACACCTAGAAGTACCTCACTGCATAGGATATTAATAAATATTGAGTAGAAAAATTCACAAATATTGATCAAACCCACATACAATGAGTATTCAAACTCTCAAATCTACCAGAAGTTTTCGTTACAAACAGAAAAATCTAATTCAGATGAGCACTGCTTGGTTAGTACACTAACAGGAGAAATAAACTAAAAGAGGTCCATTTTTTATAAAAATTATTAAAACCATACTTAATATCTGAATATTGCACTAGAGCATCAAGAAGTCAAAACAAAGTGAAAAACCAAGAAGTTAAAGAACTAAACAGAAGATTTCCAAATGCAGCTCAGGAAGCTAAAGCAAAATATTATAATAAAATATGCAAAGAGCAAGAATCAAAAAATCAAAAGGGGCGAACTGGCTTGACATATCTTAAGCTGAAAGAACTGAAGAAGAAGTTTAAGCCTCGAGTTGCAATACTCAAGGATGCTGAGAGCAGAATGCTGAATGACCCAGGAAGCATCAAAAGAAGACAGGCGTAAACAGAGTCAACGTATCAAAAAGAAGTGGCTGTTACAGAAGAATTTAATAAAAAAAAAATACAGACGATCAAGAGGCAATGGTGATGAAGGAGAAAGACTGAGCTGATTTGAAGGAACTGGCAAAAAATAAAGCCCCAAGAATTGATAGCATACCAACTGACATATTTCAACAAACAGATGCTGCCCTGGACACACTCATCCAGTTGTGCCAAGAAATCCAGAGGACAACTACCTGGCCAACTAACTGTAAGGATCCAGAAAAGAGGTGACTTGATAGAGTGTGTTAATTACCAAACAGTATCACTAATATGCATACAAACAAGATCCAGCTGAAGATTAACCAATAACGACTAAAACAGCACATCAAGTGAGAAGTACCAGATGTGCAAGCTGGGTTTAAAGGAGGCCATGGCACTAAAGACATATAGTGAACATTATATGAATCTTAGCTGAAAGCATAGAGTACTAGACAAATGTCTGTCTATTTTTCATTGACTGCGTGGATCACAACAAATTATGGCTAACTTTGATAAGAATGGGAATCCCAGAACACTTAATTGTACCTATGTGAAGCCTATACATGAAGGCAATCGTCAGAACAAAGCAGGAACACATTGCATGGTCCAAAAGCAAGAAAGGAGTGATTTCCATAACTTTTCAATCAAGATTATCCAAGAGGTTGTACTTTATGAGGAGGGATGAGGCATCAGGATTTGAGGAAGACTCATCAACAACCCACATATGCAGATGGCACAGTCTTACTTGCTGAAACTGAGGAGGACCAGAGGCATCTGCTAGAGGTCAAGGACTGCAGCCTTCAAAATGGATTGAAGCTCAACATCAAGAAAACAAAGATTCTCACCACTAGGCCAAATGGCAACATCATGCTAGATGGAAAAAAGAGATTGAGATTGTTGAAAATTACTGCTTGCTTGGTTCTGAAATCAACACCCTTGGCACTAGTAGTCAAGGAGGACATAGGGTGGAAGGTAGGTAATTGTGCAACAATGAATGAATTTTTTTTTTTTTTAAAAAGGCGAACTGGGAGAGTGGGAAGGGAGGGAGAGGGGGTACAACGTGCAAGAATGAATGAATGAAAATCTAACTTCTCTGTAAATATTCATTAAAATCACAACTAAAATTTTATGTTTCTAAGAAAAAAACTAGGAAAATCTGCTGTCAGAGATCTCTCTAGGGTACTGAAGATACAACAATGTCAGCCTAGAGGCTAGTTGCGCCTGATCCAGGCCATGGTCTTCGCAATTACTTGTGATGCTTCAGAGAGCTGGACAATAATAACTAAGGATGACAGAAGAATAGATGCCTTTGAGTTGTGGTGCTGGAGAAGAGTCCTTGTTCAATACCACAGACCTCAAAGAAACAAGTAAGTGTATCCTGGATAGGGTGAAACCAAGCTACTCCTTGAAGGCAACAATTTTGAAGCTCTGTCTCTCACACTTTGGGCACATGGCCAGGAAGAAACAGTCCTTGGAGAAGGACATCATGCTTGGAAGGGTGGAGGGACAGCACAAGAGAGGAAGAGCCCGGATGACACGTGACTGGAAAAATCAGAGTAGGTTTGTAGGAGACAATGAGATTGGCTCAGGATAGGGCAGGGTCCAAAGCTATTCTATATAGGGTCACTGTGAGTCATAGGCAACAAATACCTACTTTTTTAATTATAGGGAGCACTAGTGGCGTAGTGGTTAGGAAGTTGTGCTGTCAACACAAAGGCACAGAGTTCTAACCCACCAGCTGCTCTGTGGGGAAAAGATGGGCAATCTCCTGCAGGTGATTTTCTGCCTCTGAAAACCTTGGGCGGGTCAACTAGGTGCTGGTTCCAACCAGAAGAAGACAGGTAACAAGAGTTCCTGGCAAACTCTGTGCAGCGGCTGTGCATCTCTAATTAGGCAGCAGTAGGCCAAATGATGTCACTTTTTTGTTCTTTATCTTTCAGAGGGAGTTCTGGTGGCCCAATTGTTCCGCTAACCCAAAGACCATACCTGTTGGCAGTTCAAATCGAGGGAGGGAGACATATGAATGGGTATTCTTGTTATTACAGAAGTCCAGAATGAAGGCTGCATAGTGCAGTGGACTTGGGGAAGGGGGAGGGATTGTATAACAATGAAAGAGTCTTTCCTTTACAAGGAGAAGAGTGAATTGGGGAGAAGAGGGTGGGTAGGGAGAAAAGTGCAACAACGAATGACTGGAAACCGTAAGTCTCTGTAAACTTTCATTAAAATTAATAAAAATTTTAAAAAAAAATCTAGAAAGATGGGCAATCTCCTCCCAAACCACTCACAGTCTTGGAAATCTAGTGGGAGGTCGGCTGTGAGTAGGTTCCAATTTGAAGGAAATGAGCTGAGTGGAGCTGGTGGCCTCTAGCCTTGATGCCAGCAATCATCTGCGTGCTCACTCTACTGCTGTTCTGTACCCTGATCTCACCCACAACTACCTGACCCTCCAGCAGGCTCTCAGAGGCTGTAAATCTCACGGGAGGAGACTGCCTGCCAGATACTCTTATTCTTCGGTTCTCTGTATTTCTTTCTGTTACCTATAAATCTATTACTCTCACTAATACAATGATCCCTCTTTTATTAATTACTTTTACGCTTTATGGAGTGTGTGTACATGCTGTGTTAGAATCATTATCATTTCTAACTCTGGTATGTTTCAACTGTCAACATGAAACCAAAATGATTATAGCATTTAAACTCATTTCTACCTACAGAAAAATTTACTTGTATCTGTTAGAGTGTCACTCAAAAGACTTAGCTGGATTATCTATCTTATTTGGTGACTAACTCAAGCAAATTAACTGAATACACAGGCTCTTCACCAAAATTTATTTTGAGAGAAAATTCCAGGATTCCCTGTGCCCTGGGGCTAAGTAGTTATTCTCTAAAGCAGCTGAGACTGAATCATAGCAAGAGGTTCTTCCAACTCCCTGTCAAGAGAACTTCACGCATATATCAAAATGAAGCACAGAAAAGAAAAACAAAGAATGCTTTCAAATGTGAGATCCAAATCAAAGCTCATGAAAAAATGCTTAGAAAATTGCTGGCTAGCTATGGAGCAAATGCTTCTCAACAGGAAGGGTTCATCTCCACAACGGTCCACCTAAGGAGATGCAAACTAACAACTAACATCAAAAAGTTATCCTTTTGTTTTAAAAAGGGAGGGGGCATCTAGTAATAATATTAATTTAACTTGTTCAATTCTAAGTATTGAGTGTATCTGAATTTTATAAAATGGTTTTGCATTTAAAAAAATTTCTTCAGTAATTCAGGAAAACGACGATGAGGAGTCACCATCAAGTAAATGCTGGCAGGTCTGAGATTAGAACCGCAATCCTCAGGGTTTTCAATGCTGATTATTTTTACAAGGAGATTGCCAGGCATTTCTTTGGAAGCTCTAGGTCACGAGCTAAGCACATTAAGCCCTAAATGAATTTTACTATCATTTCAAGTATATTTCTAAACGGCAATGAAATGGTCAAGATAATAGTATTCATTTAGTCAACTCAAACTTCAGAATCCACCAATGATTTTGGGGGACCAAGACGGGCAGTATCCTCTCATTATCTCAAAAAGTCCTCCTGGAAATCTGGTGGATAGTGGTCACGTCGGGGGCTTACTTGATGTCAGTGGGCATGGTATGAAACCAGCACCAGACATGACTATCTCAACTTACCAGTTAAACTAACCACCTGAAATCATATAGGATGCAGAGTCATTTATGACTAGGGAGCTCTGAGGGCTTAGTGGTAAAGGAGTTACGCTGCAAACCTAAAAGCATGTGGTTCGTATCCACCAGTCACTCCATGAGAGAGAGAGAGGCAATCTCCTCCCATCGGATTTATGGCTGCTGAAAACCTGGTGAAAGGTTAGCTATGAGCCAGTTCTAATTCCAGTTTGACACAATCAAGAGTCTGATGGTTTGAACCCACCAGAAGTTCCTCAGAAAATAGGCTTGTCACTTCCCAAAGAAGACCACTGTGTGGAAGGCAGCTGTACTCTACATCCCACAGCAGGAAAGAAGTCAGAATAAACTGGATGGCAGTCAGCAGCATCAATAGAAAAAGAAAACTCCTTGACATATAAAGACTATTTTTTTTTTTGTATGTAGACTAGAAAGTGCATTCAAAATAGTTTCAATTTAACAGTGTCCTGTTCACACAAAAAGCAGACATTAATGTTAATATTGCATGAAGTAACAATATTTGCTCGCTTGTAATGGAGACTTTCAAATCTATACTCAATAGATGCATTTTCATACTTTCATCATGTGCAGTAAACAGACAAGGTGTAAACAGTAACATAGACTCACCTTCTCTGAATTTCCAATTCTTCCTGGGATGGGCCATTTTGCACCTGGGCAGGTAGTTGTGAATTTTGTCTAGGCAATGTTGGCCCTATAAAAGGAGGAAAACGTAACAGGTGAACATCAGCTCCATATTCAGCTGAGCAGAGGAGGTAAACCCATGAGAATAACATAAAACTACCACATATTTACAAATGTATCTTCTTTTGGTCTAGCAAAATAAAATATAAGCTTTACGTAACACACAGCAAATGAAAGACTGCACATCATCTCCAGAAGGCTTACTTGAAACAAATGGGCAAACATCAACAATAAAGGAAAAAAGAAACATTTATATATGAAGAGCTTGGGTAAAACAAGTGTTCAATGAGCATCAGAGAGGCACCTAAGCTTGACATTCTCTAAGACAATGAAACATTCTCTTTGGGGCAATTATTCATGAAGTGGAGAAGGAAAACTTAAATGGAGAATCAGAATTCAAAAACTCACCTAAATAGAACACTGGAAATGAAAAACAGGAGAGAGAAAGCATGAGAACCTTAATACTAGACTGAAGGATGCTAATGCATTTATCAAACTTGTCCAGTTTAAGCTACAATTTCTGTTTAATGCTCTGTCATATTCCAGAACTGGTGAAAATAAACATTTACTGAACTTCTTAGTAATAATTAACCTACTTGGCTGACTTTTTATTGCCACAAAAGTAATCGTAATAAAGAAGGAAAATATCTGCATTCATTTCAATATGGTTCTGCAAAGTGCCATGTAATCATACAACCCAACCCATTAACAACATCCTGAGAGGATATAACTAAATCCTAAATAGTAACAATACTAGTTGTAAGAATTAAGTGTCATAAAATGAAATAAAAAAAATACTAAACCTAATAAAAATGAGACCAATAAATATCAGACCCAGTAAACAATTTCTAAAGTTTAAATAAAATAACCCAGGACTCTAACCCTACAAACAAAAGTAAAGAAATGGCATTAATTGTCTACTCTTGGACAAGAATGTCTCAATAATAATAATGTTAACAGACTAACTTCACTGACTAAATCTATCAACATAAGGTTTAATTCAAACATGGAAATTAAGAAAAAGAGTAGTGATATATATTGCACATAGCTCTGAATTCAGATGTGCCAATAAATTCCCCTAAAAGGTATTTGTAAGGAGTACTCCATACCATTAGGATAAGAATAATAAATAAATGCTATATATTAACACAATTTTTTTTATCATATTATAGAAGAAAACAGTACAAAATATCTATATGAGTTGGGGGAACTTTACAACTAGAAGAGGGAAATTCATTAGAAAGTAATACAGTACTGCTGACCTTAATGGTAGAAAATTAGAAATCATCTGATCTGTACTCAAATCATTTTTCCTCAACTCTTTACAATATTTTTATTATTTAATGTATCCTCTAAAGACAAACTAAATTATAAATGTAGTAATATATTTCATTAGATTTCCTAGGAATCTATTTCATGTAACCAAATAAATTTTTTTTAAAAAACCAAAACATTAGCCCCAAAGAATAAACTTCAAAACAGGATGAAAAAAATTTCTAACTTGAATACACCCATTTGCATTTATATATATAAAAAAATATATAAATATATGTGTGTGTGTGTGTGTGTGTGTGTGTGTGTGTATAAAAACTTGTCAAGTAAGGAGAATTGAGGTTTTTTTTGCCGAGGGAAAAATGAGGCAAATACAGACTGTCATTTAAAATCATACACTAATATACTTTACAGAGGAAAGATACGTCTTCTAATAAGAAGAAGGGAACAAATTTAAAAAATGTAAAATAGGAGAAAATACTGTATGTATTCAAGTTGTACTTATTTTAAAAACACTAGCATTTAGCATGGGCAACACATAAACCCATGCTGGTCTTACAATTTTAGAAAACAAAACTTCTTTCGGTTTTCAAATTAAAACCTCCTGTCATTTAAATATCTAATTGGATGTAAGCTACTTTTTATTTAGCATCTATCTCAAAGAAAATGTAATCTAACTATTTCATCTATCAAGACCATAATCGTCATGTCTCAAACAGGCACTGTCTCAATGAGAATATTAACTACAAACTTCTCCAACTAAATCAGTGAAAGCTTTAAACACAGAAAAGATGGTTAAAAATTCTAACTTGACTATACTTATTTTATTCAACAATTTTATTCTTAACTTAGTAAAGTTTGATATTAACTCACACACAAACACACACACACAAATGAGGAAAAAGGTATCATTCAGTAACTAAAAAAATCCCTCTAACAGACCAAAGATCAAAACCTTCAAATAATACTAAAAGTTGGTCATTACTAGTTGTTCACTGGGGAAAGGGATAAAAGGGGGACAGAGAAATGCTTCCTGAAGACATCACTAACGTCATTAACTATGTACCAGGACCATTACAGATGTTGACTGAAGATAACTGGTCAATTTCTGCCTCACATATGCCCTTCGTAAGTTAAATTTATTTTCTGGAGAGTTTCTAAGATATGACAATAATTCTTAGTCTGTATATTTGCTCTATGGAATTACTGCTTTTGAAAATAAATTAACTTTTAAAAAATATTTTTAAAATATCAACTAACCTTAAAACATCTTTGAATTTTTCTTTAAAAGCTAGTACCTTATTTAGCAAATCTGTTTAATGAAAGGTTTTTTTTAATATGAGTTACTATTTTGTGGGAACTTATCCTTATAAAAAAAACTACTACAGTTTTATTCATTCAGCTGAAAAGAAACCTTCAAGTATCCTTTCAAGTGCAACAATGAATGAATGGAAACCCAAAATCTCTGTAAATGTTCATTAAAATTAATAAAATTTAATTTAAAAAAAGTATCCTTTCAAAATGGGAGAAATTTCTATCCAAGAAGAACTCTCATCACTGTTTCCTATGTGGTTCTTTGTGGTTATAGGGTATATGTTTTTCCATAACTATTTTTTTAGATGGAGCAAAGGACTTCTTATTTTCTCACATCCACATTTAACCCAGTTGCTTTGTTTCTCCTTCACCAATACTGTCAAAGTACTGACAATAATGAGCCCATTAACATTCTATGCATTTGAAAAATAATAATGTAGCTACACCATAAGCACGAAATTAAAAGTTCCCATTAATTTCTAAACTTCAGGTACACAGTTACATTTTTTTCCATCCTAGTAAACATTTTACTAGATTATAAAACTGGTAATTAATACCAAAAGTGCTGCACAAACATAAAGCAGAAACTAAAATCAGACAAGGCTGTCAACTGCAACTGTGTGTGCTGGGAAATAACAACTACTACTACTGCACATAAGTTACACTCTCAAATGGTGATCTGTGATCCCACAGAACACAAATGTGGCAATTAATAGCCCTTTTTTGGAATGGGGGGAAAGCAATGACCAAGGACAATTAGTCAGTCAACCTGCCTTGTTTCAACTGACTCATCAGCAATGGCTGGGGCTTATTTCTCTCCCTACTCTAGTACCCTAGAGCCAAAGACAATGACTGATCTTAAGTGCTCCTGAATGAAAGGAAAATATATGTACACTCTTCTCCTATAGCAGAGCATCTGAACTAACTTTCTGCCTCTAATAAAGTGTTGCAAATGTGACCTGATAGAGTGAAACAGTGCTGCTCCTTGGAGGCAAGGATTATGAAGCTTTGTCTAACATACTCTGGGCATGTTGCAAGGAGGGTTCCTTGGAGAGGAACATCCTGTTTGGGAGGGTGGAGGGACAGTGCAAGAGAGGAAGACCCTTGATGAGATGGATCGATTCAGTGATTGGGGTGGTGGGAGTAGGTGTGTCAGAGACAGTGAGGTTGGCACAAGACAGAGCAGGGTTTAGGGCTTTTATACTACGGTCGCTATATAACAACAACAACAAACACTAGAAATTATAGCAATAGATTAAAATATATAACTAAACCAAATGTATAAAATATATATCTAAACCAACAACAACAACAAAAAAAATAGCTTTTCCATCTTGCCCTGAATATTAAACCTTGGCTGAATGAAGCATTTATGTCACTTTAAATTTCACAAATAAATTTGTTTTCACACTGTGGTATTAGACAAAAGTGGATTTGTTGGTTTGGTGGTCCTCCCACCCCCATTACAGTTAGCTGCTTCTGATCCCCAGCTAACTTAACTGCAGACACATGATCTGGCAAATCAACATCAGCTGTGGGGCTAGGATAAGAGAAAGAGTGCTTCCCACACTGGGCAGTAAGACTAGAGGTGAGCAAGAACATGGTGAGAGCAAGAGCCTAGTGGTGAAGAGAATGGTATTGCTGTGGAGAAGCTGTGGCAAGATGTTAGGTAGAGGAGCCCTGAAATAAAATTATATAAAGGAGTTTGCTGTTCTTGCCTGATGCTTGAAGGAGAAGCTGACAAAACTTGCTAGATGCTTTTTTGCTTGGAGGCAAACCTTGCTGGATTATTTGGATTTGACTGCTGAACTGAAACCAGAGCCTGGACTAATTGAGGAGTCATGCCTTGGAAATGCTGGGCTAAAGCCTGGACTTGTATTGTGAGATATTCTTTTTGCCTTCTTCACTCTCAAACTTCCTTCCCTAATAAATCCCATTGCTGGTACCATAACTGTGGGTCTGTGAGTTAGCAATGAATAAAGAACCTCTTGCTATTGGTGGCGGTGTACAGGCACCATGAGGTTGAGCTACAGACTCTTTTATCTTTCTGCTCTAGGATGGTGAGGGATTGTGCTATTCTCACGACCCTGGCCCTTTCAGAGAGCCACTCAAGTGTTTTGTGTCCCCACATGCTATTTTTCCCTCTTTTAATACACAATTTGCTGTGCATTATTTAAAAACACATGACTCAGTGCAATCAAGTCTAAACTTTGCAAAGCAGTAATTATTTTGTCTACATAAAGTCAAGCCAATTAAAGAAATATTAACTGACAATATTGGTATATAAAGATTAAATCCATGAAACTTAATATTTAGCTCATCATTTTACAACCTGAAGATTCACCATTAAGGTGAAATCAATCCGTTCTCTGCAATTGGATAAACCCTGCTATTCTAAATGTGAATCATTTAAGTAACAGATAC